CCAGACACGTCCATTGGATTGCCAGATAGAGAAGCGGGATTCATCACTCCAGAGAACACATCTTCACTGCTCTATAGTGCAGTGGCGGCGATCTTTACACCACTGCATCCGACGCCTTGCATTGCACTTGGTGATGTAAGGCTTGGATGCAGCTGCTCGGCCATAGAAACCAGTTCCATGAAACTCTCTATGCACGTTTGTTGTGCTAATCTGAAGGCCATATTAAGTTTAGCTATTGACTGTGCAGACAGTTGGCGACTTCTACGCACTGTGCACTTCAGCATGCTCTGACCCCGCTCTGTCAATTTATGTGGCGTACCATTTGGTGGCTGAGTTGCTGTTGTTCCCAGTTGCTTCCACTTTTTTATAATACAACAGTTGACCGTGGAATATTTAGTAGCAAGGTAATTTCACGGATGGACTTATTGCACAGGTGGCAACCTATCACGGTACCCACGCTTGAATTCACTGAGCTCCTGAGAGCAACCCATTCTTTCACAAATGTTATTAGAAGCAGTCTGCATGCCTTGGAGCTTTATTTTATACACATGTGACCATGGAGGTTATTGGAACACCTAAATCCAATGATTTGGAGGGGTGTCCCAATACTTTTGGCAATATGGTGTATATATATATACGTATATAGGATGAATACGTTTGATAAATATTTTCTCCCCATAGACAAAATGACCAATAGACAATAATAAGAATTTCAATGGTTATTCCCCTGCAGAAGGAATAAGCGTCAAACTATGCAAAACTGTATGCCAATATTGCTCAAGAACAGAAAAAAAATATTAACACTAAAACTAAAATATAGAAATGTGGGTGGTTATGTTATCATGAGGAGAACAATTAGGTTAGCACAAAAATGACAATAAACTTATAAATCTAGCCAAGCAGAATTACCAGAATAAAGGTTATAATTACCTTCCAAGTATCAGGTAAACCAAAGATGGCTGCCGATTGACGGATGGAATAAAGCTCTCACAAAATGGCATCTACATAGGCTGGAATTGTGTGTCCTAAGTGTGATCAGATATGCAGTCTCTTGGATGGTCAAATATAGTCAAATGGTACAGTTGTATCTCTGATGGATTGCTGTGATCAGATGTCATCTTGCCCACCTGACGTTCTCCTTTATCTATTGGCACGCAATACATTCATAAAATTTGAATATACCAGCCCAGAAGGTACACCACTCAATGTTTGTTTTTTATTACCTCCCTTTTGCCACTGAGTGTCACTCTAAGATAAGTCCTGACTATTCTGAGTTTCCTGAAATAACTAATTTGTTATAGGGAAAGATAAAGATTTCATTTTAACAAACTGGACTTTGTGACAACTGTATAAATGTCTTATACCTATATATAAGCCTAATAATTTGCATGCTTAAAATTGAGTTCCAGTCACACTGTAAAAGATAAAAGTCAGCAGCTACAAAAATGGACTTTTAAAAAACAGCCACTCACCTGTCCTGCGATCCAGTGGTGTCCTCCCCGCAGCCCGTTTCACTGGCCGTCCACTGTTCCTGGCTCTGGCATTTTCAGCTTGCGGCTTCACAGCCAGGTGCCCACTGCGCATGCACAAGTAGGGATGCACTTTCTGAATGGTCCCATAGTCTTCTGGGACCTGTCACATGTCCCAGAAGACTACAGGGAGGGAGGAGGGGAGGACAACTTCTGTTTCCGATCACCTAGGTGATCACAGCAGAAGTGGGAGCGGGTACCTGTAAATTTCAGGTACCCGCTCCCCCCCCCCACTTTCCAAATGTGCCAATCGTTAATGGGTAGTGGGAGAATAGTCTTTAAAGTGGAACTTCCCCTTTTCAGAGAAGCTCTGCTTTAACTACTGATTTATTATACAGTAGATATGGCTGCACACATACAATATTTCTGCAATAAAGATGAATTTCCACCAGGGGCAGACTGACAACTCATGGGGCCCCCAGGAAGTAAGAGATAATGGGACCCCCTGTGCCCCCACCTACACTTAAGCCACACCCACACAAAACCCTACCTACATATTGCAGCTCAGCTGCATAGAAGGGGCATTTAAATATTTACTACAGCAAAGACTGCATGAATGTTCCCGACTTCTTTCCGTAGAAGCCACTGGGCACTTCCAGGTTTAAAGACAGCTGCCATGTGGGGGAACTGAAAGAGAGAGGGGAGTGAGAGGGTGAAAAAGAGGAGGGGTATAAGAGAGAGGAAGAGATGAGAGAGGAGGGGTGTGTTTTAAATTGCACTAAAAATTGGGTATGGCTTAAAAGGGGTGTAGTTAAATAGTGCCTGAGATGACTTATATCATGCAGAATGAGGTAATGTTGAATAGGGAATGCACAGTGTGGAGTGTATGACAGTGGGTAGTATGTACAAGGACAGGAGTGCGGAGTGTATGGCTGTGGGTACTATGTGTAAAATGGTGTCAGTAGGTGGTGTCAGTAGTTCATTATTTTTTTTTTTTGCAATTTTATGATTTTATTTACAAATTAATGTTTTATTATTTTTATCATTTTTTTTCAAAATGCTTTTGGGTGACCAGTGGATGATGTCAATAGAGCAATGGTGAGGGTGTCAAAATTTTTTAATTTTTATTATCTAATTTCTAAATTATTTTTTACAATTTATGTATTATTTTTTTCACAATGATTTTGTGGGGGCAGTGGACATTGTCAGTAGGGAGTGAACAGGGAGCACTAGTATGTGTTGGGCTGTCATTAGACTGGGATGAATCAACAGAACCTGTACCCCCTTATATCAGAAGGAAGTGAATGGTTGGAGGGAAGGAAGGAAAAAAGAAAAAGGAGGGAGGGAATGGATGGAGGAAGGAAAGGGAGGGAAGGTAGGAGGGGTGGGAGGATAGAATGAAGGGAGGGGATGGAGGAAGGAAGGGACAGAAGAAAAGAAAGGGAGGGAATATGGATGGAGTAAGGAAGGAATGAAGGAAAGAAAGAAAGAAAGAAAGAAAGAAAGAAAGAAAGAAAAAAGAAAGAAAGAAAGAAAAAGAAAGAAAGAAAGAAAGAAAGAAAGAAAGAAAGAAAGAAAGAAAGAAGGAAGGAAGGAAGGAAGGAAGGAAGGAAGGAAGGAAGGAAGGAGGGAAGGAAGGAAGGAAAGAAGGGGAGGGAGGGAGAAAGGAAGGAATAAAAAGGGAGAGAGGGAATGGATGAAGAAAGAGGAGGGAAGGAAAGAGGGGTGGGATGAAAGAATGAAGGGAGGGGATGGAGGAAGGAAGGGAAATAAGAAAAGGGAGGGAGGGAGGGAATAGATGAGGAAGGAAAAAAAGAAAATGGATGGAGGAAGGAAGGGGAGGGAAGGAAGGAAGGGGAGGGGAGGGGAGAAAGGATGGAGGAAGGAAGGAAATGGATGGAGGAAAGAGAGAGAGAGAGGGAGAGAGAGAGAGGGGGGGATGGAGGGAGAGAGAGGGGGAGAGAGGGAGATAGGGAGGGGGAGAGGGAGAGAGGGGGAGAGAGGGGGGAAGGGGGAGAGAGAGTGAGAGGGAGGGAGAGAAGGGGGGAGAGAGGGAGGAGAGAGGGGGGAGTGAGAGAGTGACAGGGAGAGAGGGAGTGGAGAGTGAGATGGAGAGAGAGAGAGGGAGAGGAAGGGAGGGAGAGAGAGTGGGGAGAGGGGGAGAGGGGGGAGAGGGAGGGAGAGAGAGGGAGCGAGAGAGAGCGAGAGAGAGGGGGAGGGATGGGGGAGAGAGGGAGGGAGAGAAAAGTGGGAGAGAGAGGGAGAATGGGAGAGGGAGGAATGAAAGAGAGAGAGGAGAGGAGAGAGGGAGGGAGACAGTGGGGGAGAGAGGGGGAGAGGGGAGAGAGAGACGGACCTGGTACATTCAGAAGCATCACAGAGCTGCCAGCTGATCTGGACAGGGGAGGCAGAGCAGATCCTCTCTTTCCTCTGCCGTGGAGGATGGGGGGAGGGGCTGGACACTGTCAGAGAAGACAAGGTATCAGAGACCTGTGAGGGGACTCTGAGGAGCACAGAGGGGGGGCCCAGGAGGGAAATCCGATGCAGTGTCAGGGACGATCGGTGCAGGGGAGGGACAGTGACAGCACCGATCTCCCTGCATGGATTTCAACAAGGCAACTGGAAGCCTCTCTGTCCCATGGCTTTCAACTGTTTCCTTGAAATGCATGCAGGGAAATTGGTGCTGTCACTGTCCCTCCCCTGCACCGATCACCTCTGACTGTTCCTGATACAGATCATCCATGGGGGGAGTGCAGGGTGTTCACCACACACACCCTGCATGCCTCTCACCTTCCCACTGCCCATTGGGCTCCATCACCAGCACAGTGTCCGGACCCTTCACAGACTCACTCTGCCCCCACGCAAAGTGACAGGTGAGCTACTTCTGGGTCGGGATCTGAGACTGCCTCCTCCTCCGCTCCCCACACTGTCACTGGGCAATGATCCTCTTACAGGCCCTCTACTGACCCCAGACCCTCGGGCAATGCCGAATGGTCAGTCCACCCCTGATTTTAACACACTATATATATATATATATATATATATATATATATATAAAATGGGATTACACATATATAACCTGTGTTAATATTCATAAATCCTTCTTAGCAATGGGGTATTGTATTGGGATAAAATCTTTTTCTTTTTTATATCCAAACAACTTAGATATCTTGCAACATTGTGTTACAATTTAAAATCATATATTTTAAATATGTCTGTGATATTCATTTCGGTTTTACCCAGAAAAAGAATTCACTTACCGTATTTTTTGCTCCATAAGACGCACTTTTTTCCCCCAAAAATGGGGGGAAATGTCTGTGCATCTTATGGAGCAAATATGGAGCGACTGGCCCGGTATTCCCCATCGCCCACCGCCGTGTTAGAATACTGGGCTGGCCTCTTGGCTCTTCTGTGCAGCAGCTCCAGGCAGGGCCCAAAGCAGCTGCCCCTTAAAGCGGAGTTCCAGCTGAAAAAAAAAAAAAACTGTAGCTGCTGACTTTTAAAATACAACCACTTACCTGTTCCTCGGTCCAGCGGTGTTCTCATCCCGCTGTTTTACCGTCTGTCTTCTCTCCCGGCATCTTTCGTGTGGGCACCTGGCTGTGACAGCTTGTGGCTTCACAGCCAGGTGCCCACTGTGCATGTGCGAGAAGCGCTGCACTTTGTGAATGACCAGTAGTCTTCTGGGACCTGTCATGTCTCCCAGAAGACTATGGGGAGGGAGGGAGGCCGGACAACATTCGCTTCTGATCGCCTAGGCGATCGCAGCGGAAGTGGGAGCGGGTATCTGTCAAATTCGGGTTCCCGCTCCCCAAAGGTCTGCAGTCTCTGGTCATCTCCTGTACTATGTCCGCAGTCTCTGGTCATCTCCTGTAGTATGTCTGCAGTCTTTGGTCATCTCCTGTACTATGTCTGCAGTCTCTGGTCATCTCCTGTACTATGTCTGCAGTCTCTGGTCATCTCCTGTACTATGTCCGCAGTCTCTGGTCATCTCCTGTACTATGTCCGCAGTCTCTGGTCATCCCCTGTACTATGTCCGCAGTCTCTGGTCATCTCCTGTACTATGTCCGCAGTCTCTGGTCATCTCCTGTACTATGTCCGCAGTCTCTGGTCATCCCCTGTACTATGTCTGCAGTCTCTGGTCATCCCCTGTACTATGTCTGCAGTCTCTGGTCATCTCCTGTACTATGTCCGCAGTCTCTGGTCATCTCTTATACTATGTCTGCAGTCTCTGGTCATCCCCTGTACTATGTCTGCAGTCTCTGGTCATCTCTTGTACTATGTCTGCAGTCTCTGGTCATCTCCTGTACTATGTCCGCAGTCTCTGGTCATCTCCTGTACTATGTCTGCAGTCTCTGGTCATCTCCTGAACTATGTCTGTAGTCTCTGGTCATCTCCTGTACTATGTCCGCAGTCTCTGGTCATCTCCTGTACTATGTCCGCAGTCTCTGGTCATCCCCTGTGCTATGTCCGCAGTCTCTGGTCATCTCCTGTACTATGTCTGCAGTCTCTGGTCATCTCCTGTACTAGGTCTGCAGTCTCTGGTCATCTCCTGTACTATGTCTGCAGTCTCTGGTCATCTCCTGTACTATGTCTGCAGTCTCTGGTCATCTCCTGTACTATGTCCGCAGTCTGGTCATCTCCTGTACTATGTCTGCAGTCTCTGGTCATTTCCTGTACTGTGTCCGCAGTCTCTGGTCATCTCCTGTACTATATCCACAGTCTCTTGTCATCTCCTGTAGTATGTCCGCAGTCTCTGGTCATCTCCTGTAGTACGTCTGCAGTCTCTGGTCATTTCCTGTACTATGTCTACAGTCTCTGGTCATCTCCTGTACTATGTCTGCAGTCTCTGGTCATCTCATGTACTACGTCCGCAGTCTCTGGTCATCTCCTGTACTATGTCTGCAGTCTCTGGTCATCTCATGTAGTACATCCACAGTCTCTGGTCATCTCCTGTAGTACATCCACAGTCTCTGGTCATTTCCTGTACTATGTCTGCAGTCCATTGGTTCAGAATATTTTTTTTCTTGTTTTCCTCCTCTAAAACCTGGAATCAGGTGCGTCTTATGTAGCGAAAAATACGGTAATATATATGAATAGTTTTAAACATATGAATAGTTCCAAGATTCATCTCTATAACTTCCCATAGAGATCCTTTTAATGAGAGGTGTTTGTCTCTTGTTTACCCTTCCCAGAGCGGAAATAGTGGTGAGTCCTTGAACAACTAGTCTGTTAATTTGTTGTCTGCCTTTTCTCAATTCTGTACACATTTCATTTGCAAGAACTAACTATCTCAGTGGGGAACGAGATTGTATCTTGTGTGACCTGAGACCTGAAAGCGACCTTGGATTTTTGGGGCCTATTCAGTTTTAAACAAGTCTGATTTCATCTGGAAAAAAAAAATGGAAATATAGTTCCTCTCATAGAAATTCTGACAATGTGCTTACCTTATAATATCAATAGACAGATAACGAGAAAAATGGACTGAGCTTCATTGACAAGTTGACAATAAAAACACTGCTATTTTTGCTCTTCCTCCTCTGCAAGACCTGTGAGTGCTTCTAAACCAGTTTTGGAATTAAATAGACAGATCATGTATATTTCTTAAGTTTTCACGTTTTGTCCTGGAGGTCCTTATAGTATATCTATTATTTTATTGCCAAAGCTTTGTCTAATGTTATATCAGGATCACGTGGGGGCTCTATAAAGTAGGGTTGGTAATGCTAAACAAAATGTTATCTTTAAGCATTAACATTTACAGTGTTTAGATGTAAACTTTTTTGTTCCCCTGAATTGTGTCTGGTGTCTTGGAAATAGACTTTATTTCATGGGTTGCAATGGCCTCTGGTTTTTTTTTTCCAGGTTAGATGCTTGTAACTCTTCTATATTTGTCTTCAAGAGGTGCTATAGTTTTATGTACCTCGTTCCCTAAATATACAACAGTTCTCAGAGGTATTGTAAGGTTTAAACTGCTCCACAGTCTGATATTCTTTTAGTTCTGTGCAAATGTCCTTTCCATAGTCTTCTTAAAGTGCACCCATGTCCAGATTATGGCCATTGTGATATTTACATTTTTTTTAAAGGAACAGTAAAAGAGCTTTTATGCTGAACTCTATGTATGATCTTAATTGCATACTTACATTAGTCCAGCTTGGATCAATGTAAGTATGCATTTCTATCTCATACCCAAGAGACCACTGTGGAAGAGGACAATCACTGTAGTAGTCAACAATATTATAGTGATAGTCACGATCTTCTGGATCCTGTTTTGAGCAGCTGCCACTCTGCATACTGATGACCTCTAATAACAAAATGCCTTGCATTTTTTTCAGTGAATACAAGGTATTGCAAAACTGGATGAGGTAGAGAGGAGTGGCAGTGATATTACCATCTCCACCTCTCTCAATCTAAAAAAAATAAAGCATTCCCTTAATGAAGGAGGTGCCAAAAGAGTGACTACCTGTGGTTATTTAGCAGTGGCACAGCTGCTCAGCACATGACCTGCAAGATTGCGGCAATGACTGTGGTAGCTACGAAGGCTACAATGATTGTTATTTTCCACATCGTTCCCGAAGGTACTGTATAAGATATGAATATTTACATTGGTCCAAACTGGACCAATATAAGTATGCAATTAAGATTATACCTGGAGTTCATCTTTGAAATAAACTCTCTATGCTCTACTGTGAAGTTATTAATTCTCAGAGATCCTCCAAGATTGCAACTAAGACTCTAAATGTTTCATTCCATTTCTCACATCTTCGAAATACCTACTGTGTGTTTACATTAGAAGGCTGACAGGCTGCCAAGATTCTGGTGCAATAGAAAGTAACAGAAAAAAAGTTAAAGGATAAGGTCACCTTTTTACCAAAAATAATAAATGTACATTTTTTTGCAGGTCAAAAAATGTGCAGTTTTTTTTTTTTGATTGCAGAAGCCTGGAAACCATTGCACCAGTGATCAGCTGATTGCTGGTACTTTGCAGGTCTCCTGTAGACCTGTCAGTATATCTGCTTGCCCTTACAGGATGTACGAGCAAACAGATACACTGACAGGGGAAGAATCAATGGACTATCACAGCGCTCCACAGCGCTGTGGTAGTTAATTGAGAATTACAAGCTGACAGCTGCGAAGGCTGCTGGGACTTGTAGTTTCTCATTCACAGAAGATCGTGAATAAGTGACGCGCGGCCGGGCGGGCGGAACCCCACTCGGCCACATTTCTTTGTTAATTTGGGGGAAAGAAGATCCCCCGCTAGCTGTCAAGGCAGGGGAGCAAGGGATGGTGTATTCATAACATGTTACATTTTACACCCTGAAATGGGTGCAACATTTAACATGTTATGAAAGGTGAACTTATCCTTTATGGTTATAGTGCCTCTGTTGTGAACTTTGAAAACACATTTCTCCAAAATGCCTATACCCACAGGGGTGAATGAGAACTTGTTTAAAATGCTTTTATTGCCTTTTCTGAATATGAAAATACTTTATCGTGCATACCCCAGGCAGAAGTTCACTTTAAAGTTCAGTTGTCTATGCTTGTAGAATTGAACTATTCTTGAACAAGTGTAGGATCGAAAAGACATACAGTAGATGATTATAATTGTAGAGGTAGTTACTGAAATTCTGGTTTAAGGTTAACATCTATAATAAAAATAATAAAGTTTAAACAGTATATGTTGGAACTGAAGATGAAACAGCTATAAGGCTCCAGGAGGTCATAACAACAGCTCTGTCCTACCCATGCAACCTAGGGCTGCCTCAGAGAAAGCAGTTTTCAGCACATTTATTATGACTGTATGGCTCATCAGGTGGGGAAAGACAGTTGGACCTGGAATGGTGTAAAACCTTAAATCCTCGAGAAAGGTGTCATATGGACAGAATTTCTTCACTTGGCCGCACCATAGACATTGCAGCTTTCTTTCTTTTTACATTTAAGGTTTTATTTAAACGAACCACAAAGCCACAGCAACATTAGTACCCAACATTCCTAGTCCCCCTGTACCCCTCATTGACCACATCGTAGGTAATAACCAGAAACAAATGCTCAGTTGGCAATAAGAAAAATATAACAATACGTTAAAGCAGCTAAACATGAACCAGGGGTTGAAATGTTACTGATATGTACAGAACACAAAAATAGCCTCATATGTGGCTGCATGGAAGGATCCAATATTTTCTGTGTAATAAGAGACACACATAGAGAACTACCTGCTACAACTACAGGAAAAATAGAAATGGTAAATGAGAAATTGGAAGGGAAGGGAGAGGGAAAGGGAAGAAAAAAGTGGGGAGGAGAATTTAACCAACTGAAAAGCAATAAATGTGTGCATAATTCCAGATAAAACCACATGGACTGTCTTGGAAAAGCTTATCCATCAGCTGCAAGGTAATTGCAGTAGTCTTGGGAATGAAAGAAAGCAGTCCAATAGAACCAAGCCTTCCATTGCTGTTCCTTTTTTTTATTTTATAGCTGTGGTGAGTTCCTCCATCAGATGGATCACTTCGATTACAGAGAATTATTGACCCAGCGAGGGGCGCTTGGTACACTTCCCCTCTGAGCTATAGCCATTGCAGCTTTCTATGCAGATTCCAGATCTGTGCACTTCTCAGTAGAGTCTTGGGGTACCATACCAGGACAATGTCTGATGGAAGATGCGGGGACAGCCTGTTATGTTGCTTTGCACTGGATCATGCTGTGAGTGTTCTCATTGTGAAATATGTGGAGCTAGTTGTAAGGTGCATTAGAGGTCCACAGCCGCCGCAGTCTGCTTGTTGCAGAGCACTACTCTCACGATGGATTGATGTCAGCCTGTCAGGCTGGGGAACATTACTAAATACCTTCTTTGTGCATGGAGCTTGGTCTTAGGAGGAAGTGAGCCTTCCAGTCAACATTCTGCAACTGATTTTCTCTTCAGTGCTTGGCTCCTTTATTGTTAGGACACTCCACAAGAATATAGTTGGACAAAGGCTCTACAAGCTGCTCTCTTGGGTCTCCTGAGCCAGTCTTGTCCTGTTTTTTGTTAGTGGCCTGTTGATATTATTGTCTGTGTTGCCCACCCCTCAGTTGGACTGTGATGGGACACCACAGTTACTTAAAGAAGATTTAAAGAAGCATGTGTCCTGTAATGTATGATCAGGAAAATTGCATTTTTTTACTTACCGGTACAATCCGTTTCTTGGAGTACAATGCAAGACACAGGTCCCACTCTTTTGTTCTCAGGATGTTCCTATTGCTTGCTACAAACTTGGGGCTAGCTGGGAGTAGAAGGTGTTATATAGGTAGATGTCCCTGCAGCCTTTCCTTTTCCAATTATCCGGTCACCTGAAGGTAGCTACATATAACCCAGTCATAATTTAAAGAAGCCCTATATACTGAATTTCAGGAAAGGGATTTTAC